ATGGCGACCACTACGCTTACTTAGATACACACGATCTGATACACATGTCCAATGGCCAGGCAGATTTCGTGTCAAGTTATCTGCCAACACGTGATTAGCTCAGTTAGCATGTAGCGAGCAGCCATCATGACCGGTCTGTCGTCATCGTTCAAAACCTCGCTGCCCCAAGACCATTTACCCATTTGCAGTGAAGCGTTCCAGACGCGCTGATCTGCAGTCGCAGGATCGATAGCTCGGGCATACCTGCGTCCGCACAGCCGCAGCTGCCCATGCGGCCATTTGAATGCACCTCTCCCTGAAACCGCAACCTGAGCCACTGGGACACCACCCCTCGGAAATTGCAACGCACACTGACTGTACACCACTTGAGCTTGGCCCACGAGCATACAAAACGGGTGCCACCACTGTCCCACGGACTCTCAGACCTGACTGGACACAGTCAACACCAGCCCTGGCTTCGCTAGTTGCCACTGCCGCCTGAGAGGACAACTCCGGGTTCTGTGCACAATAAACCCCTCATTCTGGTGCCCTCCGTCTTCTCCCTACAAACTGGGTTCTGACTTAACGATGATAGCGCACAGACAGGGTCCACATTCTCAGTGCGTAGTTACAACAAGCACAGACATTTTCAGCATCCACTCTAATTTCCGCATGATTTATTCGATCCTACATCAGTTAGCGTAAAATGGCAGTGTTTTGGACGAAATTCCAAGAACCACGAAAACCCGATCGAATGCAAATGTGTATGGGGCAGAAGTGTCTGCTGACAGTTATCCACTCCCTTAAGGAACAGTTAATACAGCTGTCATGTGGAAAGCTGCATTTTTCACGCACATTTTCACCCTAATCCAAACTAGTGCATCCCCCCCCTCTGAAGCCATCCAACGCGTAAATGATATTAGTTCCAGGATTTTCGGCACAAATGTTTGCTCACTTTTTCATAGGAAAATTACTTAAATCAGGTTATAGGCATTTTAACACGATTTCGTCTCGGCCAATTTTTATTCCATCTGAACTTAGTAGCCTCCAGAATAAAATAACATGCATTTCTGATTCTGCGTTTGGAGGCAAAAAAGCTGCGCGATCGCAGCACACTTCATGTCCGACACCATTAACCTTATGCTTACGAGGGCCTTTCCCTCCTGTCACTAAAGACGTGATCCGCGCTAAAATGGGTTCGTTTTGTGAGTGTAAAATTAGGCAAAACGAGTTTAAAAGTGTTTGAAGCGACCTTACAGTAGTTCTAGTGTCAACGCTTTCGAAAGAATTTTGACTAGTCGGCGGTTAGGTTTCATTCGAGGGCACCGCTAGCGGGTCCCACGCGACCTAAGCCACAGGCTGACAGGGAGCGTGGGGTGTACAGGAAGACAGCATGAGTAAACATCCGCGCTAGCGATCACGGAGACAGACTACCGTAGTGATATCACATCTAGACTTACAGCCAACGGCGGACTACCTGGGGTGACGTGTTCGAGTCTTTCTACGCCATCTTTTATCTGAGCAGTTTACCAAAGCGAAGTTCTAGCTGCCGCATTTTTCGACCACCTTCGCACAACAGCCCATCTAACAAGCGCAACTATGCAGTGCTCTATTCCACAGAGTAGAGATAAAAAACAGCGTGCCATCAGACAAGAGTCAAATGACAATATCCCGTTACCTCTTTAGTACCGCAAAGTACCAAAACTATTTATCCGTGTAAAGTAGGCATCACACGAACAGGTAACGGCCAAAGGTACAGCAGCACGAAGTCCAAGTCGTTCCTTACGCTAAGAGTTTCCAAGACGGTCTTTGGGCAGTTACAACCCGTCGGGTCAGCCAAAGTTAATAGGCCACAATTAGTTGCTGCCTGACAGAGGTTAAGGACACGGCGCCGTCCACAGAAACCTCGACAGTTGTCTACGAAATGTACTGAAACAACTGAGACTGTGCCTACGTCGGCAAAACTGGACAAAATCTGCAGACTCGCCTAAATGAGTACGCACTGATAACTGATAGGTTAGACTACAGTTCTAAACACGCTGTGGGAACAAGCATAGTTCTGACTCCCGAGAGAGTGCCGTCCCAGAACGGAATAGCTTCTTGACAGAACGACCCAAACTACGGGCGTGATTCCCCACCCGCCTACAAAATCCACACATAAAACCACAGTCAAGGGGACTCAGCGCGCATGAGCAAGCCGAGCAAACATACGGGGATGATCAGGAGTCACCGCTGAGATGACGACCAACAACAGAGGCTGTCCTTGATCCCGTCAAACATCTTCCAAAAAGACTGAGTCAGCAAAAGACGATGTATGGGCCAGCCCAAGTCCACCTGGCTTAATAAGATTATGTGCATTAGATACTTTAACGCCGATGATTCGGCCGAGCCTCCTGAAGCATCAGTAACACCAAAACCCGTTCCAATGAGTCATTTCTCACGGTTGGGCTTGTTTGGACTAAAACACGTGATCTTGCTTTGTGCTTATTGACATTTCCGTGGAGGATATCGGCTGAAAAGGTGTGCTCATGACATACGATTGGTGCCACCGGCGTGTTCAATAAGAATGAAGGACAGGAGGCACATTATGGTTAGACACCGAACCATCAATACATTACAAATCACATCACATCGGGGATATCATGTTAAGTTGGCGTGGCCTGTCTAATCAAATACGACGGAAGCCTTGGATCTGAATATCAACAAAGCCATTGAATTCGAATGGACAAAGGAAAAGACTGGTGGGACACCGAAAAAATTGTTTCCTTTCATTTTGACCTAACGGCGAAAAACTCAGTGACCTCGGTGGAATTCGAACCCACAACAGCAAGGGAAAGGCCCAATGCTACAGCTTGCTGAGCTACGATGCCCCACCAGGTGCCGTAAGTTTAATCCGGTTAACCGCCAGCTTACAGCAGCCAACGAATTCCACCAAATCGGATGCAGCAACGTTTTGACTTCCAAGGCAGGATTTCCTAAGTAGTCCATCTAGATCCAACCAGACGAATAACCGGCCCACGTAATAAATAAGTGTTTTGGCAGATCTTGGATATTTTATTTTGCCTGATCTGTAAAAAAACTCGGCCACCTCAATGGGCAGTCGGCTAACCGTATCAGATTTGGTCAATCCCATAGGTTGCAGTAGGTTAGGCAGGTAGCGTAACCCAAACGTGATTAATCCCATGGCTCCCAGTAGAGCCTCGAACCTCAGATGACTAGAGCGTTGGCTGTACCAAAGTATTCCCCCTTGCTGCCGTAAGTTCGGATTCCACCGAGTTTTCCACAGTTGGGTCAAAATAAATTACTCAAAATCCGTCAAGACACCCATTGATCTATTTACTCTCCTGAACATTCGAACTCGTGCATGAGTGCATAATAAGAGACTGTAGCAGCAACAAAACAAGCAACGGTATAGGGGGTACAAGGTAATCATCAATAAATGATGCAAGTTTAGAGATGAATTCGCGGGGCTCTGTATACCGACCTATCAGCAGATCGAAGCAACTGGTCCTACGAATGCTAGAAAAGACTGCTTCATTTAACAACAGCCGGTTCTCCGGTACCGTTACGATGACGACACGTTTATTGTCATCAGGAATAACATATTACAGACCTTTCATAGTCCACTTAATGTGGCCTTCCCTCTTATACAACCGCGAGGGAAGAAGAGATGCAGACGTTATTTCTTCGATGTGCGGATCAGGCGATTTTTAAAGGAAGATAACGAACACCACGCAACTTCTCAGTCTTCACGACAGTCATCCGGCGGTTAACAAAAGCTCTGTGAGGACGATCTTCGAACAGACCTAGACCAATTGCAGCAAACCGGAGCGAAAGGCACGCGAGGCTCGATATCTACGCGACAAATTTACCCGGAATCGTAACCGGAAGGCGTGCATGTTCGTCCCACTACCACCCAAACAGCAACATTCATCAAGAGTATGGCATCCCCGGCCATGTATCAAGGACGTGTCAGAACCAACCGAACGCGTTGCAGCGGGACTAGGTGCCAGCGTTGCACATCGGCCCAAAGCGCGACAGGGCTATGAACATAAAAGACTGATTAAACCCTAAGGAGAAGTCCAAGAGTAGCGTATGTGGCCCTCTGACCAAACTGACTTTGGGGCTACACGGGCCAGACTGAACACATGACCGGATGGCGCATACACGAACAGATGCTGATCACGTGACGGAGCGACGAATTACAACACCTACGAAATGGCTCATGAGTTCGAGTTCGCAGCCCACCACGGGAACCAGACAGGTTGAGCATTGATTGAGGCCTGAGACTCGGACGAGAACTAGGCCAATCGACGTATCGATCTGGCCCCGTCACTTAGGGCCCTGCACAGCCACCTGCAGACACGCGTCATCGATCATAGACTAGCTAGTACCGCCTATAACTGTTGTCTGCCCAGTTTCTGCCACTACCTTTGACGGTGGTCCACTGCGCGAATTCGAAAGCTCGCATGAACAAAGAAAGGGTCCCGGCGACCGAGCAGCTATCTTTATGCCTGGAAATGTATGGCTACTAACGCGCCATAAGTAGTTAATATATACACGAACGCGCCCACTGAGGACGATGGTACCCCCGTCCCCAAGGAAGCATCGTTCGGCTGGTTTGCCTTAAACATGTATTTATGCAACCGTAAGATCGGAAAAATGTAATCAAGGCAGTGGAAAAGGAGGCTCTGTCATCGAGCGTTGAGCAGCCAATAACCCCCCTAGAGCAGTCGCTTGTTCCGTCTCTGCTATTACCTTTGACGATGGACTATTGTAAGAATTCGAAAGCTCGCAAAAAAACCGAAACTGCCCCACTGTCCTGCCAGTCTTCTTTATTCTTACATCTGGGATTCGAGCAGTCGCCTCCAGTCGTACCGCATTTGTCATTTAGACTGCCTACGGACTTCGCTGGGGGACATGACGAAAAGCCTAAAATTATAATCGGATGGAGAGTTCAACGCCGAGAGGACGCTCCATAGCAAAACAGGCAGGAGCTTGACAGCCGATACTTAGGTACAATGAATATAATAAAAAACTGGCCTAAGGTGGGTTTCGGCTGGTTAAGACGCGTCCGAAACCTTCCAGTGAGGCTCCTTATCGGCTCCGCACAAACGGCACTATATTTCTGACCTCTAGAAGAGTCCTGGTCAACGCCAGGTGCTGGACTTGGACATCAAGACGACAAAAAACCGCTTTTCGTCTTCTACTACTACCGCTACCACTATTACTACAAATGCTACTACTAATACTGCCAATAGCACTATTGCTACCACTACCAATATCACTGCTACTGCTGATACTACTACTAATGCTGCCGATACTACTATTACTACTACTGCCGACACTATTATTGTCGTTACCAATGCTACTGCTACTACTAATACTGCCGATATCACCATTATCACCACTATTGCTGCTACTAATACTGCCGCTGCCACTATTATTCCCACTACCAATGCCACTAATACTGCTACTAATACTGTCGATACCACTATTATTACCTCTACCAATAATACTGCCGCTACTACCAATACTGCCGATACCACTATTACTACCACCACCCATGTCACTACTACTACTGCCAGTTCTACTACTACCGCTACTAATACTGCCGATATCACTATTACTGCCACTGCCAATACTACTGCCACTACTACTAGTACTGCCGATACCACTATTATTACCACCACCTATACCACTACTACTGCTGCTACTACGACTACGACTACTGCTACTACTACTACTACTACTACTACTACTACTACTACTACTACTACTACTACTACTACCACCACCACCACTGCAAAGCAATCAAAACGAGATTAGCTAAAAATGCACAATTTCAAAAGAAGGTCTTCACACCCAAAACGCAACAGCGATGGTCGCGTTGAAGAGGTGTCGTGAGATGAGGGGAGGGAGCGACAATTGCGAGGGGGGAGGTGGGGGAGGCTTCAGGAAGCAGCGCGAACCTCCGAGGGCTGGTGATGTGACAGGGTGGTGCCAGTGGGTGCGGGCTCGTCGGAGTCGCCCATTTGGATGGTGGTCCAACCACCTCGGTCGCTGCGGGACACGAAGGCAGAAAATGACTGGGTTACTCTCGGCAAGGGCCTCGCAGGGAGCAGAGAGAAAATTTTACTAGCAAGAGGATGGCCAGTGCATACACCAGGTGGCCCATCTCATGAAGTGTTATTTGAATGTTAGAAAGGTGTTTTCGGTTAAAGGATTACTTAAATGAGGTCGTAATACCGACTAGCGGGAAGCGCAGTCCCAGAATCCTTCAGTCACGACGGCTTTTCAATGAGCTTCTTGAAAGTCACCTGTATAATACAATTGGTTAAAAATGGCCACCCGAGGAGCATGACATTTCCCTACTAATTTCCCGCCCCTAAAAATTCGAATGTATCCTATAGAAAACACATATTGTTTTTGTGCTCATTTGGTAGTAAATTGTTTCTTTGTCAAATATTATACTTGGAGAAAAGGTCTCTGCCGGTTTTAAATTTTTAGTCATATGGCTTTTAAGGCCGTGAAAAGGCCACTTTTACTAATGCACTGGTAAGCCGTCGCAAAATTTTGTGAACCCTGTATGACGCACAGAAAGTCTAAGCACAAGTGCAGCTGAATGTTTAGTTTAAAATTATTCGGGAAATGAAAAACGTGATTCGCCACCAAATGAGCACAAGAGAGAAGGCCCCTATGTATGCTTTCAGTAAAATGTATCTGAATTTTCAGGGGGGTTGAAAATAAAGTGGGGGTTGCATACTACTTAAATTGCCAAGTTGTGGTTCAGGCGGACGGCCGAGAGGCTTATTCAAAAGTCGGAAATCTGGCGTGACTGCAACATTATGAGATACGGTTGCATAATAATAATAATCGGTAGGACAGTCCCACCTATGTACTCCTTTATAACCAAAAACGCGTTTCAGAACTTCGGTTAATATCCCATGAGATGGCCCACCTACCGTATTGTCAATTAGGGGGTGGCTGAGTCGGATTTTAACCATTTCTACGAAAAATGGGTCCGCTGCCATATCCCGCAGTTGGCATGTTATGGTTGAGCATTCCCGATAACCCCTGCTGTGTTGATCTAACGCATCTATCGGGTGGCCCGTTGTAGGGGGCATCTACTACCTAAAACAACACCAGCGACATGCAAGAAAAACGGCCACATACCCATCGTCAACGGCACCTTCTGGGGATGAGGAGGTGTCATGGGTTTGCTGCTGCTGCTGCTGCTGATTTTGCGTTTCCGAGTGACTGTCCTCAACGCCGCCGTGCGTGGAAGTTTGTGCGTCTGCGTAGGAGGCCTGCTGTTGGTGTTTTTGAGCGCCATACAGAATCAGCTGATCCGCCTCGCGTTCCTCCTTCATACGCACCAGACGGGCAAACTCCTTCTGCAGCTCCGCCTCACGGGCCCGCTGGCGTTCCACGTCGACTTTCAACAGCTACACGAGGGGAGGGGGGGGAGAGAAAGAGACACAGATAGGTGGGTGCGCACTAAAGTACAATTCACGCCAAAAATTAGGTCGTTTGACTGGCGGACGGAGGTCGAGAGGCGAATCTCAGACTCTCCGAGCAAATGCAGCCTGCTGATGATTGCAAGCAGGTGGGAAACGACCGCATACTCTCCCGCCAGTTATCGGAACTGGAGTATCTACCAAAAGAAAACACGGGGAACACTGGGGAACCCACTGATGAGTCGAACCCCCTGCCGCTGTCTCATGCAGCAGCAGAATACCGGCGAAACAACAAGTGTCTGGGCTTTTAGCTAGTACCTGTGCTGCAAACTATGATATAACTGAGCGACTGCTTTCACTGAAAGTCAGTGGCAAAAAGTAGCGTATTAAAAGTGGGCTGCGCCAATTATCCTTACGAATGCGGTTGAATACATACGACTGGGAAAGAGCACCGATCAAGGCTGACTGGAGTCGAGGAAGCATAGTGCTGAAAGGAATCTCGGCAAACGCGTCCCACGGGGACGAGAGAGGACGCCAAACTTATCATCACTGCCTCAGATGATGGATTTCAGTGAGGATTTGAAAGGTCAGGCGAGTAGACGTCTCGTTCCAGTGATCCAATCCCATTCTTCCGATTTGTGCTCAAACTTCCGACCTATCATGCTTACCTGAAACAGTAATCTCGAGCACCGATGATGATGATGATGAAGAAGAAGAAGAAGAAGAAGAAGAAGAAGAAGAAGATGATGATGATGATGATGATGATGATGATGATGATGATGATGATGATGATGATGATGATGATGATGATGATGATGATGATGATGATGATGATGATGATGATGATGATGATGATGATGATAGCAGGATAACGTGTGATCGTCTGGTTCATTCCAGTTTCCAATGCGAAAGACAGACACTATTACTGGTTAGAGTCTGAAAAGTAATCCTGCCAGCGTCTCGGGCAGAAAACAGAAGGTTCTCGATAGGCCAAATGAGGGCTCACCATGGTTCCAACCACTGAAAGCCGAAAAATTCCAAGCAATTGTTCGAATGAGAAGGCAACGCTATAGAATTGTGGTTTATCCCAATATCCAATACTGGTTTAGGCAGAGACTGCTAACGGAACATCCTAAAAACGCGAACGGTGAGCTAAGGAAGTCTGTTCAAGACGCCAATGAACGGCCCGAAGACTCGGCAATGCAAAGGTTTGGGATATGAGACTCGCCTCAGTGCGTCGTGCAATGGCGCCGAGCTCCTGCTCTCGAAGACGTTCGAGGGTGGTGAATTCCATACGACTTTGTTCGGTGAGGTCAACCGAGTCCTGGATGGCCTTTATGAGGCCTTGGGCGCGCGACTTTAAGGAGGAGCGAAAAACAAATAATTAAGTCAAATTCGGCGGTGGTTGTGCAGTAACGTATGCGAGGCAGAAAATAGCCTACCTGGTAGCCACCAAGGAGAACACCTAGTTTTTTCTCCTGTTTGAAGGCCTTCTGGGCCTCTTCAGCTAGTTTGCCGCGCAGTTGCTCCAGACGCTTCTCCGCCGATTCGATGCGGTCCGCCTTGGAGACCAAGTTAGCTCGAGTGTAGCGGCGATGTTGAGGCAGGTATAGCACCTGGGCTAGGCACTCCTCCCACACCTTGGCATAGGCTTCTGTAGACAGGTCTCCGTGGCCCATGCCCGCGCGTACCACGGCAATCTCTTCCTTTATGTACTCGGATGCCTACGAATATTTGCAAAACAATGTCTACTTTAGATTTATAAGTAGTGCTTATTTGTAACAAACTTGGTGCGGGCAGTAGATCAGGGGAAGCGAGACGTCCCAAGCAGACTTACCTCCGAAAGATCCTCATCATCAAAATCCTCAAAGGGTGTCTCTTTCAGGTGGGCTTCGTGGGTGGCATTGAGCTGCTGCAGTCGCTTCTGCTGGGCTGTGGCGCTGAGCAGCTTTCCATCAGACGTACGTGTGATATCAGCCAAGAGGGCTGGAGGCGGGTTGTGAAGGTTGTCAAAGTGCAGCATGACCATCATTTCTTTTTTTATCAATTCCTCTGACTTGAATGCAAAGAAACAGCATATATAAGTACTAAAAAGGGGGAAACACTGTAAAAGCTAAGATGAGATATTATGCGTCACTGCGTGCCAAGCCAGTCAGAAAAAAATGCAAAACAAGCTAAACGCTTGTCAGCAACGGTCGGGCTACGACACTCGAGAGTGAGCGGCCAAAGTGAGAATATGACGCGGGCGTGCTCTTAAACTGCCAGGTCAACTTGGAGGGTCGTCTAAGCATTGGTGGCATACAGTGGGTGATTAACAAAGGTCATGAATCTTATAGCATGACATCTTGCTGTTCACAACAGAAGCCACGGTAAGACCATATTCTCCAAAGTTGTCGACAACAGAGTTGCGAGAGTCAGCAGTTTAGTCCGTTCCCGAGGCAGAAGGCGGACCTTAAAAGTACGTGTGAAGGACAGGCCTCACGTCCGATCCGGGGCATCACCTGCTGGCCAGGCAAAGGGATTATCAACTACGATTGTTAGGTTGGGTATTCTAACGGTCCGAAGTGGAGCCCATTCGCGACATCATGTCACTTTCCCGCCGGATTGGAGCTGTTATGGTGGCTAAGAAAACGAGCGAACAGATGTGGTGCAGGCAAGCAAGTTGGTCGCCATTTTGTTCGTAGGTGGTGGTGGTGGTGGTGGTGGTGGTGGTGGTGGTGGTGGTGGTGGTGGTGGTGGTGGTGGTGGTGACGACTATGATCAGGAGGGGTGGGGGGGCAGTTAAATACAACTCACCTTCTGGAGGTCAGTTAAAGACATGTCAGAGGTGGTGGGTGGTCGGAGGACGCTGCGGTTCACTGCAGTGGGACGAGGCAGAGAGCGCTGCAGGGCCTGACTCCGCCGCAACCAAGCAGCCGCAGCAGCAGCTTCCCGCTCCCTCTCCGTCTGCTTGTCCAGGTCGGCCTGATCAGCCACTTTGGCCGCGGTTCCACCGGCGGCACCATCAGCGTCCAGGTCCACGGACTCCAGGTCGTTCAATTGGTCCTCGTCGGGCATACTGATCTCAAAGTTGTTCTTGGGCTGGGGCAGACTGGCCAGCGTTTCACGCAGATTGGTGACTGTGTGCTGGGGATTTAGTTCGCCCTTCGGGGAGAGAAACAAGATGATTTCAACCATGCTAAGGATACGAGGTGACGCGAGAGCGGGGGGCCGTAAAATCAAGATATACATAGGAAGCGAAACGTAAAGGGAAAAGGATGAGAAGGCCAAAAGACAGTGAGACACTTTGAACGGGGAAACCTAGGGACACTATCAAAGGTCCGAAGTAGAGTAGATAGATGGAAAATCTGAGAACAGAGAGTGAAGAAA